CCCGTAGGGGGGGGCTCCGCCTCCGTCACGTGACTCCCGGACGGGCCTCCGCTTCCTCTTACTGGCGTAATTCCGCGTCTCGACACCCGGCACACTCCCAGGTGCCTTTGCAGACGCGGGTCACGTGGCAGGGGGTGGGGCGGAGAAGGCGCTGTGCTTAACTAGCGCCCCCATCCACCATGTTTTCTGACCGATTCTAGTTTGGTTGTGTTTTTTTTTTTTTTTTTTTGCCTCAAGCCCAAATGGAAATGGCCGGAGAGCTCCAAGGAACCTAAGGGGCCCCGGCCTCGGCTGAGCCTGGGCTCCCGCGCAAGCGCGGTGGGAAGAGCCTAGCAGGTCTTCGTGGAGAGAGGCGATGGCGTCCAGCAGTAACTGGCTGTCCGGGGTGAATGTTGTGCTTGTGATGGCATACGGGAGCCTGGTGAGGAGATCCCCACTCCATTCCTGCTGTGGCGCCTGTCCCAGTCGAGGCTCTCCTCCCGAGCTGTCCCTGACTTCATTCTTCAGCCACTTGCCCTGTTTCCCGGCTTTTGACTTGCATCCGGAGCCTGCCTGAGAACTTGGAAGTCAAAGCTGCCCGCCCCGGGCTGAGATCCCTCCCTCTTAAATTCCAGGGCCCAGGGATCACGCCTCCCTACTGCTAACCAGCCCTATCCTCAGCGACCTGGCTTTGCCCCAAGTTTTATCCTGCAGCATCTTGCCCTGACAGCCTAAACCCAGGGATTTTGGATGGGTTTTTTTTTTATTTAATTATTGTTATTATTAAACGTGGTTCTAATCTTTTCGGGCAGGTATTTGTACTGCTGTTTATTTTTGTGAAGAGACAAATCATGCGTTTTGCAATGAAATCTAGAAGAGGACCTCATGTCCCTGTGGGACACAATGCTCCCAAGGTAGGTCCTTAGGGTGCAAGGTAAACCTGATTATTTAGGCACAAGGAGATTTTTCTCTGACTTTAAAAGATGACTTTATTCATATGTTTTTATGTCCAATTACTTTCATTTTCCCCTTCACAAACTTAAGCAGTAACTGCCTGTGGACTTGACTCACTTGATCGCTGCTGCAGCTGCTGCAGCATGTACTTTAAGAGCTAAACCAGCTGTAAAATGTTTCTCATGTTCACTTTAAATTGCCAAGTGTTTCACGTTGCTTCATTTTAGCATGATGTTGGGAATGGTTACAGTTCACTCTATAGCTGTAAGAATAGTTGCCTTTGCAGAATTTTAAAGATGCCCATTGTGCTTGCCTTGAACGCATAAGACTCCGGGTTTTATCCCCGACACTACAAGAAGGAAGAGGGGAAAACATTAATCACCTAGTTCCACCTTTCTCGTCAAGCTTAAGGAAGGAAGCAAATTACTGACTTTTTAATTTTGTTCTTTGTTTTGTATTTTGAGACATACATGCATGAAGGCTGGCCTTGAACTAACTCACTGTGTAACCCAGGCAAAGCATTCCTCCTGCCTGATCCATACAAGTGCTCAAATTACTAAAATAATATGCCACATTGGACTATTTAAAAAGTAAATAATCATGCTGGGCATGGTGGTCCTTATCTTTAAACCCAGCACTCCAGAGGCAGAGAGAGGCCGGTGGATCTCTGAGTTCAAGCCCAGCCTGGTCTACAGAGCGAGATCCAGGACAGCCATGGTTACACGGAGAAACCCTGTCTCAAAAAAAAAGAAAAGAAAAGAAAAAGTAAATAATCATACTGGCTTTGGTGTTTCAGGCCTTTAAAACCCAACACTTGGAAGGCAGAGGCAAGTAGATCTCTGAGTTGGAGGCCAGCCTGGTCTACAGAGCAAGTTCCAGGACAGCTGGGGCCACACAGATAAACCCTGTCTTGAAAGACAAAATAAAAAGTAATCTAGTAGTGTCTTAACTTTCTCCTTAAGGACTTTCCTTCTTTTTGTGGCTTTAAGGAAAGTGTCTTTGTTGGATTTTTTGGTTTTTTTCAAGATGGGGTTTCTCTGTGTAACAGTCCTAGCTGTCCTGGAACTCTTTGTAGTCCAGGCTGGCTTCAGACTCACTGAGATCTGCCTGCCTCTTCTTTCCAAGGAAAGTCTTCTAATGAAACTTGGTCTCTCTGAGAAACTTGTTAGGATATATAACTGTCACCTGACATTAAAACTTATGTTTCAAATAGACATCTCAGACCTACTGTAAGGTAAATCATAAGTCCTTTGTGTGTTTGTGTGGAGGCCTGAGTGTGGTATCCTCTGTCTTCTTCAATTGCTCTCCACCTTAATTTTGGAGACAGATCTCTCACTAAGCTTGGAGCTTGGCAATTTGGATAGAATGGCTGGCCTGTCCCCATTTCCTTTGAAGTCTTTTTGTTGGTGGTTGGTGGATCTCCTGTATCTTGGTCTAGAGTTGGATATCTAGGTAAACGTGACATTGAACTCCTGACCCTCCTGCTTCCAGCTCCTGAGTACAGATGTTATCGGTGTGCACCACCACTCCTGGTTTATGTAGTGCTGGAGATTAAACCCAGGATGCTAGACAAGCTAGCTAGACATGCTAGACAAGCTCCCTCGACCAACTGAAATAACATCCCCAGTTCTAAACCAGAATCCCTGACATCCATCGCCATCCTCATCATACTTTTACTTTCTCAGTCTTTCACTTTTTAGTAAAAGACAATTGACTTTACCAACTTCCCATTACCAGCATCAAGCTCCACTTACTGAATTTCATAACTTTGCACACACTGTCACGGTCCTGGAATGGTCTTCATTTAGCTGCTTCATTCATTCCTTTGTGGTTTTTTTTTTTTGAGACTAGGGTCTCTTGTAGCCCAGGCTAACCTCTAGAACTCACTGTGTAGTCCAAGTTGGCCTTGAATTCCTGAGAATTACAAGCATGCATAGAAATACGTAGCCTCTTACTTTAGATCTTAGTTTAAAAGTATTTTCCTCAAGAGAAGAATGCATATTACATATTTTTTTTATTTTGGTTTTGTTTTTCCGAGATGGGGATTCTCTGTGTAACAGCCCTGGCAATCCTGGAACTCACTTTGTAGGCCAGGCTGACCATGAACTTGAAGAGATCCACCTGCCTCTGCCTCCCAAAAGTGCTGGGTTTTAAATGCCTGAAACACCACACCCAACACACATTACATATTTTAATGCAAGCTTCTTTGTATTCTTATGGTACTTTGAATTTCTCATACCACTACCAAAGTTTGTCTTTTATGTTGGTTAAAACGTACTTCCTTTATTGATAGACTATACATCTCAAGATTTCTGACACTTCAGAGGTGTATCTCAATGATCACTCACACTAGTCCTAAACATAGGAGGTAGCCAATAAATTGCTGTTCAGTGAGAAGCAGGTAACGGTAGAGCTAATGCTGACGTGTGTGTGTGTTCTTTCCTTAAGCAGTATTGGCTCCCATGTGCTTGTTGTGGCATAGTGGACAGGCTGACGGACGACGCAGTGGACTGGAGTGTCAGCCGTGCTCCTTCCGCTTGGCCGAATGAAAGGACACAGGGGTTGGTTTCCAGCACATGATGGCAAATTAAAGCTTAGCTGTTTAGGGGCCTCTAGACTACACGATGCCAAAGTTCCATTAATTTAAACATACATATGTGTATGTACATACATATATATAGAGAGAAAAATCTCAGTCCTTATCCACTGGTATTGAAAGTATAAATTAATAAAACCACTTGGGGAAATGGTTGAACATTATGTAGTAAGAATGTACATATAGTTGTCTAATCCTTAGCCCAAGATTCTGTCCTTGGGCTCTGGTATCCCCTGAGGTTAGACAGATTCAAAACTGGTAGTGGTGGTTGATTCTGAATGTGTGAGGACTGACACATAAAGTGACTTTTAGTACTTTTTTCCTTTTCATGACAAGGGCTTACTTTGCAGCCCTGGCTGGATTGGAACTCGATTTAGCCCACCCTGATCTTGAACTTGGAGCAATGCTTTAGCTTTCAGAGTCTTTGTGGCACACCATGTGGAACAGTTTCCGAACTATTATAGATCATATACATACAAGTTTCTTTATGCACTTTTAGAGAGGATTATAACTTCTCATGCTTCATTTTTTTTCTCCACTCAGGAAGTTCTTTAGAACATCCTACCAAGATTCTTCTTAGTCTTTTTTTTTTTTTTTTTTTTTTAAGGTATGATCATTTATTTGTTACCCTTAAAGACTTATTTTTGACTGGACTCAGACTTAGAAGTAGAAGCTCTCAGAGAGGGCAGCCTACGTCTCTTGGCGATCTGTTCCTGGCGCTTTTCTTTGGCTTCCTTCATTCTCTTGGCCAAAAGTTTAGCATATTCTGCAGCCTCCTCCTTGTTTTTCTTGGTTCGTTGTTTCTTTAGAGCAATACGACGGCGTTTGTGTTGCAGGACACGTGGAGTAACAAGACGCTGAATCTT